AATTGCTCAAAGGTTTGTAATAGATAATTAGGGTTTATTGCTTTCCTCCCCCATTCATAAACTTGTACCCCCATCCCCGAAGCATTTTAATAGCGTAGGACATTTAATTTTCGCAATTTACTGCTTTCTTTATTACTGTTAGTAATTAGGGTTTGCATGGCAAGATAAAGAAAAAACATTAGATAACCTAATGTCAAAGAGAAATACTTGAAATCAAAACACTTCGCACATGCGCACCTCTAGGATAACCTCACTTATTGCCTCTGATTTAAACAGTCATGTCCCTAGAATATGGAATGTTTTAGCAAAGACCCTCGATTAAAAGATCGTAGTCCCTCGATGACCCTTTGATGTAGCCTTCGGTAAACGATATTAATCCCTTACGACAAATGCTAAAACATTCTACAAGTTGCTTTTATGATTGTACGATGACCCACGCATGTCCCTCACATCCAATGATAGCGCTTCATACTAACTAATGATAGGATAGCACTATCTAAGGGAGGAGGAAAAGAACAGAGACTTTTTTAGTAGGTAGATCACTTGTAATCGCTTGCTCACAAACTAAAACAATTTCCACACTTCACACTTTCAAAACAACTACTTTAAAAAAACATTTTATAAACACCCTTGAGGACTGATACAAGGGTTATTATAAAGCAAATTTTCTTACATTTGCATTTTCAAAATATCTTTTCACAAAACAACACTTTCTTTCAACAAATATTTTCAAAACAAATATTTTGTATATATTCTCAACGATACGAGAATCATCACAAAATTGTCGCACTTAGGCATTTTCAAAAAAAATTAAAACATACATAAACACAAAGCGTTATTTCAAAGTGAGCTAGAAATTAAGAGCCTGTGGATAACTACAGATGAAAAGGGTGCTAACACCTTCTCTTTTCATAACCTAACTCCCGAACTCAAGAAAATTCTCAAAAGGGTCTTTCCTGTTCTTTTCACCCTTTTCTTTATTAGATAAAAGAAAAGTCGGTGGCGACTCTTACTATCCGCAATAATTATGATAAAACGCAAAACCTCAAGTCAGTTCTCCCACTGTATTACAGTAATTCTGAAGGTAGTGGTTTTGAACGAGGTCTAAAAGCTAACAAACGTGGAGCTTCTGATGGTAGTTAAACTTATGGAGAAAGTCTAATTTCTGAAGCAAGAGCTTCTGAAGAAGAAAGTTCTGGTGTTCGAGGTTCTGAAGTTCAAGTTTAGAGGCAAAAAAGAGTCAGAAGTATCCCAAGAATATTTCTAGAGTTTGACAAGCTGCAAGATACTGAAGGGACTCTGAGGTATCAAGTATTATTCCCTTCTAGTGTTAGATCAGATGCAGAGCTTATATGCTATCCAGACTCTGATTTGTATTAAGGTAGAATTGATAGAAGAAATACTTCTGGATATTTTTGTTTGTATCTAGAAAGTCCTATTTCTTGGTGCTCCAAGAAGTAACTGGTGGTTGCGTTGTTAACCTGTGAATCTCTCAAGAAGAAAGTGTGGTTGAGTTCTATGAAAGAAGAACTTGAGACTTTAGAAAGAAACAAGATTTGGGAGTTAACTGAGCTTCCAAAGGAGAAGAAAGTCATCAACGTCGGATGGGCTTTTAAGCTGAAATCTATTTTTCTAAATGGGATTGCACATGTAGCAGCCAGAAGCAGCTGGCCGGCGTTGTAACAAAAGCTATCAAGACTGATCAATTTCTTTGTTTGAGGAATGTAATTGATATTGTCAGTTTTGTGTAAATATAAATTAAAGGATGGTGTTGGAAAGAATTTATATTTTAGAAATGTCTTATTGACTAAGTTTGTTAGAGGGTATTTTAGTATTTTATTATACCCTAATATTTGTGTATAAATAGCCTATTAGTAAATAGGTCAATGTATTCATTACTCTTTATTTTGTAGCCATCATTTAATATATTCCTTTTGTCTTTCATCTCTCCTTCTACATCAACAGGACCCTCATTGAGGAGTCCATGCCTCCTATAGAGGTAATCACATATGATGGATCCTTGGACATCCCTACATCTCAATGTTCTATTATGTATTGTAATTTTAACAAGTATAAACTTCCTTGAGGGTGGATGTCTTTTGAAGGATACCATGGTATATTTATTAACCATGCAATAAGAACATCTCTCAAAAGCTTCCATATTAAATCATATGAGAACATCCTTTTGGGCTAACCACTTTAACCCATTATCCTTGATATGGCTAAGGCTTTGGTACGACTAAGATGCTTTGATATCCATATAATTCACACTATCTTTAGCAACCAAAGCTTTTGTTTAATACAATTTAGAAATTTTCTTCCATATAAACACAACTAAGTTTCCTTTGTTGAGTTTCAACTTTTCAAAAGCAAAGTGATTTTCAAAACCACCATCATCAAGCATTTGCACATAGATCATATTAAAGTAAACATTTGTAACATGCATATCTCCTTTAAGCAATAATTGCATTCTCTTTTTGGTTTTCAAGAAAACATGACTAACATCATTAACCTTCGATACACCATCATTACCAATATTTAATACTCCAAGGTCACCTGAAGTATAAGAGGTGAAGAACTTGTTCCTCTGTGTAACATATAGTGTTGCAACACTTTTATTTATCCACATGCTCGCATTGAATACAAGACTAACTTACTCATGATCACGAAGAACAACAAGATCATCACTAGTAGAAGTAGTAACACAATTATAATCATTATCATCATCGCGACCTCTTAGTTTCTTCTTACTCTTCTTGTATATGTTTTCCTTTTAATTTCAACGGAAAAATTTCTGTTATATGTGTTATATTCTATGACTATATTGACACTCAACATTCTTTTATCGACGTTTGGATTTGCTATTGCTATTATCTCTACCGCCCTTTAGTTCCATTTTTTTAACTTCCCTTATTTTCTGTGACAATTGTCATGATTAAGAACATTGCCCTTAGCCATTTTCAAAGAAACAACAATTTTAGGAGCTTAACTCGTTATAGAAACCTAAAATGCCTCTCAAGACTCTAATAAACGTAACAATAGAAATAGTCTAAATAATTAATTATCTAACTTATTACTCATTTGTAACATGTGATCAAAAAACACTTGAAAATCACTCAAGATATGTGAAATAGAAGTCTAATCCTTATACTTATGAAGCAATTAAGCAAGAACAATATATTATTCTATGATTTAGAGGCATACAAGGACTCTATTTTCTCCCACAAAATTTTTACATTTATCTCATTAACAATATGAATATAAATATCGTCTTCCACATATTATCGAATGAAATCACTCACTTGGTTATGTTCAAATATCCCATTCTTCATTAGACTTAGAATCCGACTTCTTTAGAACCAAAATTCAGAAAATACATTTTCAAGCTCACCATCTTTATATTCATATTTGCCTATATCGAGTAATCTAAAATATAAGTCTCATTTCTTATACTTCAAACTTATGAAGCATTTGTCTCATTAGCCATATCATTATAACAATATCTTCCACATGTCACTCTAATGGATCATTAGGAGAGTATCACGATGAATCAAGAGTAACCACACAAGTAAGAAATGCACCACATATCCGTCAAAAACCTTAAAATATTTGATCTATATGTGTCTTCTAACTTATAAAATACTTAACCTTTATTTTTCCAAACAATGTGGAACTAACTCAATTATTTAACAACAACTTAAATAACTCTTTATCAATTGTCACTGTCTTCCTTTTTGTACAAGACACTTCCATTGCTTAGAAAGCTTAATAGGCAATGCATCAGAGAAACTTGCATTCTATACCACACGTCATAATTGATTAAGTAAATGATGATTTTGAAATTATCAAATAAAGACTTTTGGCATAAACAAATTTCCTTTCCTAATGATTAGAACAAACTATTGAAAAATAATACGCATGTACATAGTTATTCATGAAGCAAATCATATTAAGATGCTTATTAGTACACTTTGCATATACCTTTCCATTTGTGAAGCCGTTGTTGTGAGAGTTGATTGGTAACAATAGGAAAAATAATACATTTTGGTCTCAACTTCACAAGAAAGAAATGCATGTCAGAAACTATAAAAGGCTTTTTGTGAAGGAGACAATATAATTACTTTGTATCAATAATGAAATGCAAGTACTGAACAAAGGTATCTTTAATTTCCACCAACAACACCATGTGGTGATAGACTCTCTAAAAATCTGTACAAGTATCTTAAGTGGTACTATTTTCTGCATAAAATCACAATTGAACCAATCCTATGTATGTATTATTCAGTAGTCAGCAACATTGCTACAAAATGACTCAAGTACAAGTCAAATTATTTAGAAGACTTTTGATACAAAGTGTTCATTAATCTCAAGTCAAATTATTGGTTCACATGCTAGTTATAGTATCATCATTTTCGAAAAATGCGTTTCAGCGTCCTCTTAATATTGGTATTGTGATCGATGTTATGTCCGGTTCATATACTAATGTTAGATTATGTAGCACTAACAACTCTGGAAAAAAATGTATCCGTATTAATAGATAAATATCTTAACAAGTATCTGAGTCTTCTCAATTATATCATGCAACAATAATATTCAATTTGATAATACATATATATTCATGGAAAACCTAATTTTACAGTACCTGCTATAAATTTATTTGAACAAAACCTAAGTTTCTCTTAAAAACATCTCAGATTTCAACAATCTAGAAATGTTACCATGCTTACAATACTACAGAAACATAAAAGAAAACCATAAAGATAAACAGTCTTTAACAAACTAGTAACCAATCTAAAATGTAACCTGTAACTCAGATTCTTCTAAAAATAAAAAAAAAACTTGAAATAATTGTTACACCTTAAAGGTAGCACTTTCAAATGTACTCAGTTGAATTAGCTTAAGAAATTTAGAGACAAAAATGTTTATTTTTTCTGTCTCTAATTTCAGTAATTATTTCAACCTTGTCCTTAAAATTATAGTAACTGAAGCATTGTTTGATCTCAAAGCCTTAAAGACAAGTCAAGTTGGTTAATATCTTCCTGACCATGTTCAGAAGGATAGTTATAACCCCTTGACCAAGAAGAACTCACACCTTCCTTAGAATTACCATAACTAAATTCTTTTCTTCCACCATACCTCATCAAATGACCTCCTTGTCCATGGTTATTGTCAAGATGAGAATTTCCATGACCAAAAGTAGTGTAGTTTGAAGGGTGTTCTGGTAAATCATGATAAGATTGCATGGCTGAAGTTATCTCTCTACTCTTTTTGGCAAGTGTCCTTTCAAGTTTGTGAGCATTTTGGTGTCCTCCCAAAGCTTGAGAACTGTAAAACTTTCTCTGACAGTAGTTGCATGAGAATATCCTTTGCTCCATTGAACTTATAGGTGAAGATGATGAAGATGAAGAAGATGGTTCAAGAACAAGATCTAGATTCAGATGATGATGATGATGATGATGATCATTTTCTGGTTGGTTAATTAAGTGAGGAGAAGTATTAGGATGAAAATTATTCATAACTAGCTATATATCAAAGAGATAGAAAAAGAGAGAAAGAGAAAGAGAGAGAGAAGAAAAGTGTTATTGTGGTTTGAAAGATGAAACTGAAAGTGTAGTTATATATGGAGGAAATGTATAAGAGACCCTTAAGTTAAAGGTTCATTGTTCCTTGAAGAGAGAAATAGTAGAAAGAGAAAAGGGACATATATCTGCAACTTCAGTGGAGATCCTAAGAGCTTGTCTCCTTCATTAATGGCACAGTTTGGATCCTTTGTCGGTCGATGATGGAAACTAAGTTTAAAATACTATTAACACTAATAATGCTCTCTATTAATTTTTAATGATTCTGTCTAATTTTGTCAATTTTTTTTTTATATAAACTAAATTAATTTTTCGAATTAAAAACTATAATAAACAATAAAATCTTCTTTCAAATTTAACTGATCAGTGAAGTTTTTTTATAAGTACATTTATTTTATTAAAAGATTTGAATAAGACATAGATAAGAGATTTAAATCTAGTTTGATATGTGTAATGGTGATTACTAATGCCTTAAGAAAACCTAAATATAATTAAGAGTTTGTTTGTTTGTGAAAATATTTTGTATTTTGATTTTTAAAATGTTTTCTAATTTCAAACGTTTGCAAAGAGATATAAAATTTTAAAGTGAATAGCTATATAATTTCTTAATTAAAATAATAAAATTCCAAAATAATTATGCTTCATTATTTTATTTTAAAGTTATTAATTTATAAATATTAATAATTTATTTATATTAATATATAAATATAAATAAATATTATGTTCATGGATTAAATTCTAGACCTTCACTTTACACCCATTTAAATGTTTTATTATTTTTAAGAAATACATATTTTAATTAGTTTTTCCTCTTATATTTATGGAAATTGGTGAGTTTTAAACTTTTACAATATTTTTATTAAATTAACTTAATTTAATTTAAACCTTTAAAAAAATTTGAAAAGGAGCCCTTGTTATTTTAAATAAAAATAGATTTTATAATAATAATAAATTAAATAATATTTATTAAAATTCATTTAAAAATAGTAGAATTCATCAAAGTAAATATATATATTTTTAAAATTAAAACAGAAAATATTTTCATACAACAAACAAAACATAATAATTACTTGTATAATTTAATAACAAGTTGGGTTTTTTTGTCTTTGAAACCGAGTGAATGTATGTTTGATATTAATTATGATTATTAAGCATATATTGATTGTTTGTGACTCTGCCTTATCAACACAAGGAGAGTTTGAAGTTAAACCATGCAGTGTTCCATCAGATTTCCAATTTTGGAATGGCAATATGGACAAGATAAACCACCTTGACTTGACTAAATAATGATCATGATTGAAGACAATTTAATTTTTTTACACTTTCTTTTAAATCAAATCAAGATGTACTACACCATGTTTCACTACAAGATTGGACAATAATCCCGTTTCAACAAGATCGGCAGCTTAAATTAACTAATACTTTTTCACTTTTTTTAAAAGTTGGTGTTTTATAAAATAAATAAATAAAATATTATTTGTTGATTTAAGGTTTTGAAATTTAAAATAATATTTTTTATTTATTTATTAAATTAATATTTTTATTTTACTAAAATCATCTATTATACTAATTTATTGCATTTAAATGAATATATTAAGTAAGATAATTAATATATAAAATTATCATTAAAAGGCAAATAAATTAATTTAAAAAATAATAAATTTGATTGATAGTATACGTAAAGAGTCTTAAAACGTCAATTAAAAATGAAAAGAAGTATATGGTGATAGAAGTCTTACGAGTTACGTACGTCTCTATATATGTATATAAAGTAGTGTAAGAGTCATATACATGTTTATCAAGAAAAAAGTAAGGTATATATGTCTGTTCACTTAAATGCATGTATAGATTGAGAAAGGTGGTGGTAGCATTATCATAGGGATGAAGTATTTTTATTATAAGTTCATTTAGACAAATTCGATAAATTCGAATAAATTAATGCAAATAAATATTTAATCTCATTGATTTTTCAAGTCAATCTATTTAAATATTAATTGAATTATTATTTATAAATGTTCAGATAATAATCTTTTAAGTTAATAAGTCAATCAAAATTCGAAAAGGTCATCCTCAAATCTAAAAATAAATTTATGATATATTATATATCATATTTACGTTTTAAATATTTTAGAAACAGATACTTAACCTTGACAAAGTTTAATCAATTCCAACTTATTCCTACTTAACCTTGACAAAGTTTAATCAATTCCAACTTATTCCTACCCCTATCCCTACCATACTCCTCCTAATTCTTACTATGAGGAATTGACCCTTCCTCTCATCTAGATTACTAGGTCCCTCATAAAATGATGGTTTTTTTCTCGAAAAAATTGCAAGATTAGATCCCTATTTACAAATTTGTTTAAACTTAAATATATAGTTGATCCCATATATGTTTCTCACAACGGTGGTTCATATAAGTTCAGTTCTAACATGTGGTGGTTTTTATTGTTGGGTTTTTGGTTTGTATTTGGTTTTTTTTCTCTTTCTTTTGTTTGTTCTATCCTTTTTGTTTGTTTCGATGTTCTATTTGTTAGTTTAGTTATCATCTTGATACATCTTGTTAAGGTTGGTCAATCGATTGATTTGAATCTATATAGAACTTAAAATTTAAATCCTAAGATAAATTGCAGTTTTATTTTAAATTGGTTTGGTGGATATTTTGTTTAATATTTATTACGTTAAATCCATAAAAATAATCTTTTTTTTTAATATAAAATTCACAAACCATCATTTAAAAAAAAAAAAGCTATAAAAGTTTTAGAATAGTCAAAAGAACTATTTTTTATTATTACGTGATAATATTTCAACTATTATTTGACATTAATTTAATACTCAAAATTTTATATTACATTTCTTGTGAGTAGGGATATAAATGGATATCCATGTGGACAGATACTACGATATTGATGTCCATTCCATTGGGTAAATATGATATTCATATGCATCTCATATCTCTACGGATATCCACTAAACGGGTAATTCATGGATTTTAAGATACCCGCATATATTTACAAATATTTGATAATTTTTTTTTTTTTAATTATTTTTTGAAAAAATATTTTTTCAATTTCTTTTAAAGATACAAAAGTTATCATCACATAGAATCTATACAATTCACTTTCAATTCAACAACAAAATTTCAATACATTAATTTTCTTTTTTTCACCAAAATATAATAACATGCAAACATAATATCCATATAGTTTATTTGTGAGTTACGGTGGAAAAGTGGACGGGTGAGGAGTAGGAAAGAGATACTAGTTGAACATAAGAAGGGTGATTGGTGAAATTGTGGAATAGTTTAAGTGAGGTATAGAGTATTGAAGAAGTTTAAATAGGATTTGTATGGAATGTGAAATATTTTCTTCAAAGAAAATTTCAAAAATAATATATATATATATATATATATATATATATATATATATATATATATATATATATATATATATATATATATATATATATATATATATATATATATATATATATATATATATATATATATATATATATATATATATATATATATATATATATATATATATATATAAGAAGACTAATTTTTTAAAAGACGTAAAAACAAGATGTAATAAACTAATGATATTTAAATAATTTTTATAATTTATTAACCGATACGGATATCCGCGGATACAGGTATCATTAAACCCGCATCCATATCTATTAACAAACGAGTATTTAAATATCCATGTAATTTATCTCTGGATATCCATTAAGTTATTCGCCCCATATTTGTGACGAATTTTATCCACACATATCTACGTGTACGGATTTTTTTGTCCTCCCTACTTGTGAGTACACACCATCATTAGATTATAAAAATAATAATAATCTGACAACATTATGAATCCTATTTTTATAATGGATTATCTCTATTGTAAGAAAAATAAATGAAATGAATATTGGTTGAGTTCGGCCTGGTTTGATTTTGGATGGGTCCAAAATAATTATCTGAACCCGAGAGAAGCAATCCTATACTAGCCAAGTTAAACAACTGGATCAACTTAACACTTGACCCGACTGATTTGTTTGCACAAAAAGATAATGGATCGATCGATTTTAATCAGGTGGTTTAAATTTGTTCATCCATACTTCTTGTAGTATTTGATAGCATTGTTTTTTGTAATTTGTCCACTCGATCCGTTGGATTGAAATCTATTATCATATAGATCATGTCTATAAAATTTAACAACAATCAAAAATCATTTGACATGTCAACGAGATGCATAAAGACTAACGTCTTACAAAGTCTATTATACAATAAAAATTTCCTTCTAGTTGATTATGGAACTTGTGTAATCGTTTATGGGGTAAACTAGTTCAATAGTTGATTAAGGAAGCCTTATAATCGATTATATTTCAAACTAACCAAAAAATTTCTTGTTTTTCTAGGTCATAATTGATTATGGTCATATCCTAAATGATTATGAAGATGATCCCTCCCCAAAATCCTATCATTTATGGCCTAAATGTTTTAGTATAAAAGGAGAACTTGTAATCATTTGGAATATTCACACAAGAAATGTGAATATTGCCTCTTTTCTACTCTTTCTATTCCTCTTAAAATATTCACAAATGCTTTAAATATTATTTTAGTGTTGAAATAGCGAAATACTTAAGTAGAATTATCTTGTCGAAGAATTCATGTTAACAACTGTCTCAAACCTTTTAGAAGCAACCTTCTCAGAAATAACTCTCACAAAAGTAACATCTTTAAATAAATTAGGTCAATTGTTTTAAAACTTCTTGATATAATTCATTAAGAATATTTATCATATATTGATGACATGATTAATGTTTATTCATATGGAAATTATGGATTTGTAGAGATTGTGTAAATACATGGATATAGTGAGGATTGTTGGTCAATAGTCTATAATTACTTAAATATTGATATAAATTATAATGTTAGTCTC